TTCTGGGAAAGGGAAGGAAGTCCAGGAGTAGATTTCTGAGTTATGATCCGTATAGGTATTGTTTGTAGCTTTTGATTTTTTGTACAGTCATGGCTTTTCTGTTCTGTCTTTCTTTCTGTTCAAAAGCCATGTACTGTATCTGTAGATGATTGTTTTGAGGAAAATGAAACTATAGATGTTTTGTTCCGCTGCATTTGGTGACTTATAGTAGCTCTGTTGTTCTGTGTTTGTGTGTCTGTTGAGTTGATTAATTTGGAAGATTCAGTTCAGTAACCAAATTCCAAAGCCAGATCCTGGATTAGAAGGTTTTGTCGCGGTCCGGCTCGAGCGGGATCCGTCCCCGTCGGGTCGGGTCGTGACAGTAATTCTGAAAGTTTGTTAGGGATATTAAGCCCTTATGAACTAGTCCGAGACTAACCAAGAGGGGGGTAAATTGGTATTTTAAAAATTCTCAAACTAAAATCACGATCTAAACCAAAAATCATTCACCAAAAATAAAAGTGTGGAAATTAAATGCGGAAAAACAATAAGAAAGAGCACACCATATTTTATAGTGATTCGGTCAACTTGACCTACGTCCACACCCCGGAGCTTCTCCTCCGGGTATTGCACTAAACTCAATGACTCTCCTTTTGCTTCCACAACAAGGCGGAGAAGCGTGTACAAAAACTCCTTTCCACCGACCCCGGTAAGGCAGAGAACCTAATTCCTTTCAATTCCTCCTTAAGCAGACATAAAACCCGACTCCTTTCGCTTCCTCCTGAAACAGGCAAAGAACCTCGATCAATCCCTGAAATAGACCTCTCTAGAACCTCCAAGGAACTAGGGACAACGACTGGAAAAGATGACTTGGATCCTTGCTTGGAGCAACCTTTGTGAAACCCTCACAAACTCCCCATCAAAAAATCCTTTCTCTCTCTCCCAAGCTCTCCCTCTCCTCTTGGCTCTCTCAGGTCATGACAGCAGCAAAATATCACATCTTGAGTAAACAAGATATTTATATAGAAGCTTCAAAATTGCCCTAAATTGCAACAAACCGACAAATATCGTCCAAGACGATCGACGGATCGTCATGTATGATCAGTAGAAATTCAGCTCAATCAGCTAAGATGATCTAGACGAGACTGGACGATTAGATGATTTGTTTGTTATGATCGTCCAGGAAGATTGGACATCATCCTATACGATTAGTTCAAAAACGTCAAATATCATCCAGACCATCGCTCTGTTCGGCCAAACTTTTCATGTTGGACGATGAAAAAATAACTGATCGTTCAGGACGATTCTTGGATCGTCCTAGACGATTAGTTCAAATGAATACATATCGTCCAGAACATCGTTCTGGTCGTCCAGGAAGAAACTAAGGTTTGTTTAACTGATCGTCCAGGACGATATAATCGATTAATCAAACCTTAATTGCTTTCCTTAATCATCAGACTAATTTAGGCATAATTGTAATGCATCGTCCAGGACGATATCCTGTATAATGTCCAAAAATAATAACATGCCTAAAAGAGTTGGCGGTTGATTCTTTCTAATTTGAGCATATCGTCCAAGACGATGCTAATTTCTTCCAGGACAATTTGCTTAATTTTGACTGCCTTAACCATGATGTACTAATTAGGATTTCTGTTTTAATTGATCGTCCAAGACGATTTGGGATCGTCTAGGATGATATGATCAAAAATAGAAAACTCTAAAACAGATAGAATTTTCCCTCTGAGTATGTGTGTGCAATGTTACTTAGTATCAGGACCCACTTTGTAACATTTGACTCAAGAAAAGGTAAAAACACTTGACGTACACTTACCTATGTTGCACGGATACTTCTATTTACGAGGCATGCTGTATTGGACATGTGTCGGATATAGATATGCCTCCAATACGGCACGGACATATGTCGGATATGGATTTGCTGTGTCCAATTAAAATATTATTTAAATTTGATCGGACACGCGTATCGGATACGCTTATCCTATTAAAAAACAAAAAAATAGAGCAACAATTTGCCCTATTCATTTTGGCTATCCATTTGATATCCCTGTTCATTTATGCGGCTTAAATATTTCGGCGAGCTAAATTTTTTTATTTTCGCACAGGTGTTCGTCTTCTTCATTATAGTCGAAGGAGCGGCTCGACGACATGAGCATAGAAACGGACAGGATCATCCTTCGTCGACAAAGAGGCTCGACGACGCGAGCATTAAAGCTAATAGGATCCTTCATCGACAGAGCAGCTCGACAACACGAATAGTGAAGGTGAGGTGAGCATTGAAGGTTCATTTTATTCGTTCTTCGTTTTCTTAATCGTAGGCTCGGTACAGGAACTTGTATCGCTCGGTACTCGGTACTGCTCAGTACCGCTCGGTACTCAGTACCGCTCGGTACTGCTCAGTACCGCTCGATACTGAAACTCAGTACCGCTCGATACTGAAACTCAGTACCGCTCGATACCGAGTGGTACCGGAACTCGGTACCGGCACTCGGTACCGCTCGGTACTGCTCGGTATAGAGGGGTACCGAATGGTACCGAGCAATACTGAGAAGGTCGAACCCCGCCAAGGGGCAGTGCCCCCTTGGACCCCCGGCATAAGCGCAACATATCTATACTTTTAATTAAAAATTTTCATGTTTTAAATTTATGTGGATTGATTTGTGTCGATCCTTCGTAGGACAATGAGCTCTAGTGGTGCAGGAATTGGGTCTGATGATGGTCTATCAGAGACCAATATTGAAGATAACAAACATCTATTGGGTTATGTGACAAAAATAGATAAAAAGTCAGAAGGGGTGGCAATATTGCATTCAAATGCAATTATTGTAATGTCACATACAAATGATCATATTATATAGTGAAAGCTCATTTGTTGAAGATTAGTGGTCATGGAATTAAAGTATGCATGAAGATATGCTCATCACAAATGGCTGAGTTACAATGGAAAAACAGTGAAGCTGAGCAAAGGAGTAAAAAAGAGCTTCCAAAACATATTCCATTTTCAAGCACCCATGCTTCATATTCTTCATTATCTTCTTCAATTAGAAGTGATGACAGTACTGTAAACAAAGTGCCTTTCGGATGGAGGGATTTAAATCAAAAAGAACAAAACTTGTTATAGATAATGCTTTGGAGAAAGCATTTAATTTACAAATGAGAGAATAACTAGATGGAGAAATAGCTAGAATGTTTTACTTAGCTGGACTTCCTTTTAACCTAATAAGGAATCCACATTACAAGAATGCCTTTACCTATGCATGCAATAATAATATTGCAGGATACGTAACACCAGGATATAATGTCATTAGAACGAAATTATTGCAAAGAGAGAGGGATAATATTGAGAAGTTGTTCGATACTACTATATGAGTTTGGAAGGAAAAAGAAGTTACTTTGAT